TTGTTCTTTGACAGTTTCATAAACAGATATAATGGTTTCTGGTTGCTGTTACCTCCATCTTCTCTCATCTTCCACCCTTCCCGGGGACCCCCACTCCCCCTCAAAGTCCCTTTCTTACACCCATGTCTTGTCTGTGTGTATATTCATGTGACCTACTGAGTTTAACCTGACCCATCTGTGTGACCATGAGTGTGGACCGATCCCTGGGTACACAGCTGAGAGAATGGGTGCCCCTCTCTCAGAACCCACCAGTAGCCAATAATTCTGCAGGAAGGACCAGGGCTCTGTCAGCCTCTTTTGGGTCTACTGTTGGCTGTTGGCAATGCCAGTCTGGTACAGACCCATTGCAGGTGGCTTCCTGCGCTGTGGGACTGTGGCTGCATTGTCTGTGCCATACCGTAACATGCGACGCTCACAACTCCTCTAAGAGCTCTGCACAGTCACTCCCAGGCTATGACAAAATGGGATCTAGAGTGCCGCCTTAGAGTGGCGTAGGTGCTGTCAAGGACAGACTCTGAGTGATGGCTGGAAACTCGATGCCAAAGTTGGGGGAGGGGAGAAAGGAGAGGAGAGGGAACCAAGATGGGGAAGTTCTAGGATGGACACAGACAGACAGAGAGCACGGAGAGCCCAGACAAGCTAGGGAAACAGGGAGGCAGGGAGCTGTGAGCGAACGGGTACAGAGGGAGCGGTGGCGTCTCAGGCGCAGTGATTATATTTAATTTGTCGGGACGGGAAGAGCCGTTCTAGGGTTTGGAGTAAGGTCATGCATGGTTAGAGCTGTGATCTATTTATGAATATATTTGTATTTTACTTTCATTTATATTGTGGACTTAATACATTTAACTATAAAAAAGAATCCAAATGGCAAATACGCACACAAAAGAGGAATAAAATCTCCTCCCCAGTGGACTAGATGAAGTCTAAATCGGTGAAGCTATTTGGCAGAGTCAGCTAAAGCGGAACAAATATCTACCTTGTGACCCAGCGCTTCCCTCTCAGGTACATTTCCAAAAGTCGCAGGTGCAGATCCTCCCCCTCCCCCAGAGCACCTTCCACCAAAACAGCCCCAGCCACATCACTCCTCCACAGCCTCACACTTGATGGAAAGCCAGCAACAGCCCCCCACCCAAAACAGCGTGTAAACAAGTTGTGTCAAGTGAGGGCGAACAGCAGCGTGCACGGATCTCAAAGGTGGAAGCGCGCAGAAGAAAGCAGCTGCTTCTCCCCAGAAAAGCATTGCCCCTTATGTAATGGTGAGAACCATGCCAAGGCAATTGCTGCCATTAGAGACCCCGTGTGGGGGCTGCCCCTGGAAGCTGCTGGCGAAGGTGCCAGGCTCCTTGAGGGCCTAGGGACGCTTGTTGTTGTTTGTTTTAGAATCTATGCTAATTATACAATTTTATTTAGCTTGTAAAAAAAAAAAATTCACCGGGCACTGCACTTACAGTCTGTGCTCTTATCCTTTAAAAGTTACCAAAAAAAAGATGATCTTGTACACATTCCTTCTGACAGCCCCACCCCACGGTTACTCACCATTGGCTTTTTAGCTCATGTCTTCCTGGATTTTTCTGTTCATATAAATAAATATAAAAATGAGCTGCTCAATCTCTCTCTCTCTCTCTCTCTCTCTCTCTCTCTCTCTCCCTCCCTCCCTCCGTCTGTCTGTTTCTCTGTCTCTCCTCTACACACACACACACACACACACACACACGCATGCACAGCTATCTATAGCTTTACAGAAATGGCACCACATTTTACATACGGCCTGCAACCTGCTTTTCTAACTTGCCAGTACGCCGAGGGAGCCGTTCTGTGGCGCTGTGGATGTAGCTGAGTCTTTTCAGCAGTTACAGGGCCTTTCATTGTGGCGATGCTTCATTAATTAACTGGTCCTCCATCGATGGGCAGTTAACTCCAGCATCTCATTGATGGGAACGGTGCGGTGGGGAACCCCTGCGTGCACAGCTTTGTGCTCTTCCGTGATTACCTGTGTAGCGTGGACTAGCCAGAGTGGAGTGCCTTGGTCTGAAGTGGTGTTTCGGTCTGTTAATGGCTTGTGGGCAGTGGGTTGGGAGCGGCTCGGAAGCCATTTAGAGTTCAGGCTCGAGGGAGCAGGGGTGCCCGGCTGTGAAGATGGACAAGGAGGGGAATATGTAGCATAAGGGACAAAGACTTTGCAAGCCCTGGAACACAATGGATGAGAATGAAAAACCTGTGTAATTCGGGGGGAGGGGGGTTGAGCTTGGGAGGGGGGTGGATTAGAATCTTATTAGAAGAAGAAAGCCCATAGTAGACTGAGCTTTCTTTAGGTTGAGTCAGGGGCCCAGTTCTCCTCCGTATCGTTATGGAATGCAGTTGCAATAAACATAGGCTTAGGGGCTGCAACTTGAGTGGAGGGCTCATTTGCATTGAGTGGCTCTGAGGCTGTGGGTGAGTGATAGCCACTAATGGCAAGGGGGGGGGAGAGATTCCCCCAAGAATGTGTGGCTGGTAAGGGCCCAATGTGTAGAAGCCAGTGGGGCTGTGAACAACAGAGGCAATGGCCAGAGGCAGGTAGAGACCATCAAAGATGTCAAGGAAAGACGGCATCCGTAACTCCAGCTCAGCCAGTCAAGGAATCGGTGTCCTAAGTTAGTCCCCATCTCTACTGACCACCAGGCATGGTGGCAAACATCCCATCATTAACCCCTTATGAGCTCCGTGAGTAACAACCTGGTCTTCATGGCCACTGCCTGGCCATCCTCCTAAAGAGCCAGACTCCCTGTTTCCTGAGTCCAGCTGGCATGAGGCCAAGGAGCCTGAGTGTGAGATTCCTTGAGGGCCACTGGCTGTCACAGACATAAATTACACCCTGGCCTCCTCAGCCCTGGAGATCGAGCTGTTTGTCATGCGTGACTCTGTGTCAGTCCGTGACAGTGACATGGAGGTGGGGCACAGAGTTCAGGATGGGGATCAGGTGACTAGGGAGGGGTCTGAAACATGCCCACAGGTGCCTGATCGTGGGTCCGAAGTCTCAGGGAGGGGTTGTTTGTCTCTGTTCATGACTGCACTTGTCTGCATGTGTTCACCTGTAGAGGGACGCCTCTGTCACCTGATGTTTCTGGTTCTGAATGCAGAGAGATAGGAACTCCATTGTATGTTTGTAAGACACCGGGTGACATCAGAGAAATGCACATTGCTGCTTCTTCAGTGTGCTTTTTCCAGTGGGTGGACAGGGACCTTTTAAGGATGCACGCCTGGTGTACCCAGTTACCTCAGACACACATCACACAGTGGCTAGAGACCCACAGAAACACACAGAGATACTCTGATAACACAGACAGCAGCTAGCCACAGGTAGAAACACACAGACACTCAGATAACACGGACGGCAGCTAGCCACAGGTAGAAACACATACTATAGACATTTGGATTCCTTGCATCTTCGCGTGTCTAGTCATATGTGTTTCTCTGAGTATACAGGCATTTCTGTATCAGTACACCACGGACACATGTAGGAGACAGGAACGTGTGAGCACACACTTTGGCAAACATACATGGCTTTGCTAGCTCTCTACATGGGCATCTGAGACACTCAGAGTTGAGACGCAGTGATGCCATTATAGTACTGGGAAGAGGCCAGCTCAGACTAGAGGTGGCTTGACCTACCTGGCAGCAAGATGCAGACAGGGCTCACATGGCTGCATTCCCCAATGGGTCAGTCAGTGAGTACCAATGAAGTCTTTGAGGTCCCCAGGCTCTCTCCAGATTCTGGGGTGCTGTGGGAAAGTTCTCATTATGAATCTACCCCATCCATAGTGAGCCATAGTCCCTGTGGGACAGGTAAGGCTTTCCATGAATTTCCAGGCCATGGGGCTTTGAGAGCCACCTGGAGACATATTCCTGCTCCTTCTCACTGGATCTGATGACCAGTCCCTGATGTGTGCCATTGTCCTCCACGCTGAAGTGGGGAGAATAGGAACCTCAGCTTTATGGACTCCTTGGAGCACCATGGTTTATCTACAGGTCACCTGTTGGACACCCACAGTGACCACTGTTCTTGGCTCAGAGGCTCCCAGTGATGACCACACCTTTGTGGAAGCTGACCAATAAAAAACCAGCACGGGGCCACTCTGAGTGGTCAGCACCAGGAGGAGACAGAGAAACAGGCTCTTGGGCAGAGGTACTGGCTGTAGAGGGGCTGGGTTGAAGGAGCTGGCCAGAGATCTTCAGACAGAAAGCATTGTGTCACAAGATGGATGCAAAAGAGTGGCTGATAAAGAAAGGCATGATGGGAAGGAATCCCAGCCACAAAGGGTCTTTTGTTTCACCATTACTCTGCAGCTCTCCCATTTTATAGATAGACAAATGGAGACCCAGGGAGGGAGGCTGAGTACTTCCTGCACTCTCTCGCCAATGAGAAAAGGCATTCAGGATTTGAGTCCTGCCACGTGGCTTCAAAGCCAGTGATCTTATTGGTCCTCAGGAATGGTGAATTTCTTCTCTAGGGAATAGCTGGTAATGTCTGGATACATTTTGATTGGCACGACCTGGCTGGGGCGCTACTAGCATCTAGTGTGAAGGGCTAGGGACACTGCTAGGGATTCCAGAGTGGACAAGACAGGACCAGCAACATGACAGGATGTTCACAGTCAGACACTCTGGCACTGAGAAGCCCTGGCCTGACCCTGCAGAGCACCGAAAAGACTATGACCTATAGTAGGTGCCTAAGACCGTATCTGTAGAGGACCAGGGGGTGATTGGAGAAGTATGCCAATAAGCCTATTCGTTAACAAAGCTCGAGGAGGGCTTTGCGTGCTGCGTTCCTATGAAGAACACCCTGTGCCCCGGGGAGAGTGGGTACAGCTGAGCTAGCAGGACCAAGGGCAACGGTGGGCTGGGTTAGGGCTGAAGATTAGCTGCTGTCAGCTGCTGAAACGCTAACCAGAAAACTTGTTTCTCTGTTCCTCTTATTCCCTGTGTCTCTCCCCATCTCTCTTGGCCCCTGTGCTCAACAGCAGACAGCCGGAGGCTGAAGGGTGCCATTCAGAGGAGCACAGAGACGGGACTGGCCGTGGAGATGCCCAGCCGGACGCTGCGCCAAGCCAGCCACGAGTCCATCGAAGACAGCATGAACAGCTATGGCTCGGAGGGCAAGTGAGTGTGGGGCCTGAGCCTTCCTGTGGCCTTCCTGATCCCAGTCTTTGTGGTCGGTGGGTGGGTGGGGGGTTAAGCAAGCTCCCTTAGTCTTTGGGCCGGTGGGATGTTGGCTAAGCCTCTTATGCCTTCAGATGCATAGCCTTGGTTTTATGCTTGATCCCAACTCTACCACTTTAAAGCTGTGTGACCTTGACCAGGGCACATCCTTGAACCTCAGTTTCCTTATCTGTAAAATGAGGCAATAACATCAACCTCCTTGGGACTGTGATGGCTACTGTTAGCTGTCAATTTTATGGGATAGAGAATCACCTGGGCCTCCAGGCACATCTCTCTAGCCATGCCTGTGAGGGTTATGTTGGTTTAATGGAGCTGGGACGATCCACACTCAAAGGGGGCAGCACCATTCCTTGCGTGTGGGTCCTGAACCACGTGGAAAAAGGAGAAAGCTAAGACTGGGCATGGTGGCATGTGACTTCAATTGCAGCACTCGGGAGGCAGAGGCAGGAAGGTTTCTGCGAGTTTGAGGCCAGGCTGGTCTACGTTGAGTCCCAGGACAGCCAGGGCAATATATTGAGACCCTGTCTGCAAAACAGAAAGCTAGCTGTGGCCCTGTGCTTCCCGGCTGTGGGCGGCCCCGAGCAGCTGCCCCAGCTCCCTGCGGTGGTGATCCTGGTGATCCGTACCCTTGACCTCCAGCTGAAATCAGTCCTTTCTCCATTAAGCAGCTGTGTCACAGGGTTGGGTCACAGCAGCGAGAGGAAGCAGACACAGATGTTCAAGGATTAAGCGTTTCTGCAATCTTTGTAATCCTGAGCTGGTGTGTATAAAAAGCACAGGACAGTGCTTGACACCAACTGTATACCAGCACTGAAAGACAACTCAGAGGAAGGAGTCGCTAGGGTTCAGTATTACGTCATTGTTGTTTCCTTTTCTTAAATCCCAGTTGGGTTTTAAAAATACAAACTAGGGCTTGATAAAGACTCATGTATGTCAAGTCCTCAGAAGGCTGTGCTGCCTGGCTTCTCGCCAGGGCTTCCTCTGGGGCTGCACACCGGAATCTGGGTACGTGTTACCAATGCAGATGACAGGGCCCTGAATCCCAGACACCTGATCAGTGTGTCTGGGAGGGCGCCCAGGAAGTCAGCTTTTCAGCCTCTGGAGGGTCCGATCTAGGCTAGGGACTTTTTGGCTTCATGGGGCCCTTAGAAAACTAGGGGACATTTGGGGTTTGCCTCCCACTATGAACACACCTGCGCGCGTGCACACACACACACACACACACTCACACGAGTCACACAAACCTCCTCTTAGATTCCCTTCATGCCCATCCATGAATTCCTGACTAAGAATCTTGGATTCAAAGTGACTCCATACTGGACAGACAGTCCAGGACTCAGAGGGGTTTGGGAACTTGCCCAGGGCCACACGGCCACTCATATATGGAACGCAGGAGTCCTAACCCCAGCTGGAGCTCACGCTACACATTGCTTCATTTTTCCAACTGTCCTTTGGGGCAAGGAAGGGACCTGGGTGTCACATTCCCTGCCGTTACACACGAGGAAACTGAGGCTTGGGGAAAATATGGTCTGTACTGTATGTACAGCTGTCTGCTGCATATGGCTATGCAAATGAACTGAGATTAAATAGCCCGCCATGCTTCTCCGTCATGCTAACTGTATTCAAGTCCTCGTGGCAGCACGTGGTTCGTGGCAGCTGTGTTGGATAAGGCAAGAAACAGAACATTTTGTCTTCGTGGGGGTTTTGCTGGATTGCACTGGCTGAGTGGCTTGCTCCTCACAGCTGGGGACTGGGTACAGACTTCAGCCAGTGTGGGGTAGGGAGGGTTCAGCCTTTGCCCTTCTTCTCTGGTCTGCCTCAACTGGGACTCCTGCTGGCTAAAAAGCCTTGCCCCCACCCATCCTCACCCCTCCCATCCCCTCCAGTACTGAGCATTTCGGGCCTCATGAATGGCCCAGTCTTGGCAGAGCTGCTGTTCCACCCACCTCAAGGGAGACTTTCCTGTGGGAGGGAAGAGGGGTGGACAGCAGAAGGGAAAGGAGGAGAGAGAGGAGGGGGGAGGACAAGGAGAGAGAAGGAGGGCAACAGCCGTTGTTTTGTGTGACCTGAAACTCTCGGTAGGGCAGCCAAGCTTGGAGGAAATTATCTAGGAATCCGGGGGGTAGTGCCTGCCTCCTCACCGGTGCCAGTCCAGTTCAGTCTTGTCCCTGCTACTGCACATTAGGTGTCTGTCCTTGGGTACATCTGTGATCTCTAGGCCAGAAGACATAATGTTGGCCTCGGGAGATTTTAAAAAGCCAGACCCCGGGGAAGCAGTGTGGTGCCCTGGGTGGCAGCTGACGTATCAAAGCTGCAGTCCTACATCGTGGAAAAGAAAAGAAAGGCTCTGTCCCTCACGGGTCTCCCGCAAGGGAAGCATAGTGGGAAGGTTTCGTGAGAAAGACGAGAGGTGCTGCCTGCTTGTGGATAGGAAGGGGCTCTGTCTGTCATTTGCTGAAATATGATTACAGGGACCAGAGCGTCCAACTGCATTATAGACAGGGTCAAAATAGGTTCAGCAGTCGGGCAGCCCAGATCTATGGTCTGTGCTTCTTAGTAGCCACGCAGATTTGGGGGAAGTTGCCTCCTCCCTGAGCCGTTAGTCCAGGGGACAAACGGGACAAAGGGGACAGTAATAGAGGGGACTGCACAGAGAGCAGGGGTGAGGGGGAGTGGACGTATGGGAAGCACCTAGAAGAATGGTCAGCATACAGCTGACAGTGATGGTGGTCCTTGTCATCATTGTTTATTGTTAATTCAGTCGCTGTGAGCTGTGTCCTTTGCTGTCGTGGTCAGTCACCTCCTAGCAGATAGCGTGAGCCCTCCCGGATACAAATGAGTCTACAGAGCACAAGTTAGCACCGAGCAGGTATTGACTGTAGTGACAGTTAAAAATTTGGGGAGATTGAACCAAACCAAGGAAGGATCAAAGGTCGTCTGGAAGATTCTAGTCCCAGCAGTGGAGAGAGAGGATAATAGATACATGACAACTTAATATACCATATGCCTAGTCTGAAAGGAGAAAGGTGGGGGATGTTGTGTCCTTGGTGGCATCACCAGCCTATGAAGCCACCCCAGAATTATCAACCGCTAGAAATCCAGAAGGGGTTGAATCTTGTTGGAGGCCAACTAGGTGCTGCTCCTTCACCTGGAGCCTGGGCGGAAAATGGACAGGCAGTATTCATCTGCGGCCATCCCCCTCCGTTCCTTCGTTTATAAAGCTGCTCAGACCCAGCCGCCCGGACTCTGAAACAGGAAGGGGTGTGAGTGTCCTCCCCTCTCCCCACCTCTTGGACTCTTGCCAGCCAGCAGATGCTCACAGGAAGCCAGCCTCACTTGAGGAGCCCCACAAAGCCACTGTCCCTGGCACTTCTGGATCAGACCACCGAGCACCCAGCTACTAGGCATGTAAGAGCAACTTCCCCCATGAGTTTCCGTGTCAACACATGTGATTAGGCACCTGTAGTAGTCCAGACAGTCGAGTTGGCCATCAGGGAAATTATGTCCTCAGGGATTTCCGCTGTAGGGCACTGGCCACTCATCTAGAAACCGATACAAAGGGCAGGTATGAAGATGGCGGCCCAGCTGCGAGCCCAGGTAGAGAAATGCATGCAACTTAGCCCTCGGCCTGTGAGTATGCTGTAGGTTAGGCGGCAAAATACCAGCGACTTATCCCTTGCTGTTCAAAGAGTGGACCATAGTCCAGCAACCCCTGGGTGCTTGTTACAGAACCTTTGTCTACCCACACCATTGGATCAGAAGCCACATGACACCAAGATGCCCAGCTGGTGTGTCAAGACACCCTGGCTTAATGTCCATAGCGGCCGTGTGACCGCTGCAGAGAGCATTGCGCAGACACTGTGCCAAGGGCTTTGACCTGTGTTGACTCATTTAATCCCCGGAACAGCTGGATGGTGGTGTGAATGCTAATAGCCCCACTTACAGATGAGGAGAAGCTGGGGGTAACTCACCCAAGGTCACAGGGCAAGGAAACAGCTGAGCTGGGATTCATGTCCGGCACCTACCCAATTACAGTCAACCCCTTCTCTCATTTAATTAGAGATTCTGGAGGGAGAGGACACAAAATCCCTCCATCTTCCTCCTCTGCAGGACTCGGCATGTAACATGTCATACAAGCTGTGTGTTATCTTTTGGAGCTTGGAAAGACCTTCCTTTTCCGGAGCCCTTTTCTTCCTCATCCCGATAGGAGTTCTATTTGTTAAGGATGGAGGGGCTAGCGTCAGAGCAGGAAAGTGTACAAGCTAGAGTTCAAGTCTGAGAAAGAGCCTCGATGATACTAACTCATACCAACTACACACTACACACAGACCAACACCCACCTACATACACGCACATACCTAGACACATATACCTATATCATACATATCTATATACATACCTATACCACATAAACACATCCCTACACACCAATCTTTACCTACACACACCTACATAAATATACCTCTATCACACACACACATCTATACACACACCTATACCACATTCACACACCCTACACACATACCTCTACACACACCTACACATACACACCTGTAGATACACAGACACTTACACACACATACCTAGAAGCATATACCTATATCACATACACACAAACACACATATACCTACACACTCCTACATACACACATCTATACACATACCTTAGAAGTGGCAGATAGATCAGTAGAACCTATCACACTGAGTGCACAGGACCCCAACTGCCCAGCCACCCAACCCAAAACTTCCTCTTCCTTATTCCTTACCCAACCTGTAGTGATGTGCCCATTTTAATGGTCTCTTGGATCATCCATTCCTCCCATGCCCATTCATGAGGACCCTCGCTGAGGTGCCCATTGCTCTTACCTCAATACCTGCAAGTCTTATTTGTGGTCCAGACTCCATAGTCTGCCATCCTGCTCTTACTGCTGTTGACCTCG